TTGTTGAGAAGTTGGTTCAGGAAGACTAGAGTACAATTAGAGTACATACATCATCTAGTAATAGATTAATATCTACTTTTAAATAACAATCAGTAGTTTAGGAGGGTGACTTAGAACAAAATTTTCACTTATGAATGTTTTTAAAGAGGAGGACTTTAGGAATCTAGTTATAAGGAATTGACTTTCTTTCCAGATTAATTTGCTTTTAAGTACTGCAAATTTTATCACTAACTAGCCATATGACTTGGTTTTCTTAGCCATAAATGGAGGAGAGAGGAGAATCTGGCTCCTGTCTCTGAGCCCCTTTCTGGATTCAATATGTTTAATCTTAATTCTCTATTTTCTCCAACAACGTACTTCTTAGAATTTATAGGGATGGCAAATCTTGATATTCTTCTAGGTGACTTTTATTATAAAAGTCATTACTTTTAGCCGGCTTTAGCTTGCAATTTGCATTTTAAATTTTTGGCGTTTTCAAATACTGTTCAGAGTGCCTAACTTATCAAGTTATGTGCAAGTGCCGAGGCCTGCCAATTAACTCAGACGGCCACAGCAGCAGCGGCTTCTCATCAGAAAGGCTGAATCACTCACAGGCTCCCTCCTCTCAAGGGCCAGATGACTCACGGCCAAGTTACTCTGCAAATTGGGATAAGGAGCGTAGGATATTAGACTTCCTTTACACTCTCTTCCCTTCTACTGTTATAGATGTGGATTCTCTAATAGCACCTTTTTGGTTGTTTTCTTTCCAAAATAATATGTACTAGTTTTAAGAAGTTCAAACTGTACATACTTACATAATACAGAAAGTGGAAATTTCTCTCTAGAGAAAGTCACTTTTGAATTTGATGAGTCGATGTTCCTCCAGATAATTTTTCATTATGTACGTTAAATTTCATTTATGGGAAGAATTTTGTTTGTTTGTACTCTTTTGCAACTTGCATTTGTTTCATAGTAATACATTTTGAAGATTTTTCCATTTGATATGTGTAGGCCTATCTCATGTTTACCATATGACATAGATTGCCCTGGTATTATGACATCAGAAATTAGCTAATTAGTTTTGTCTAGGCTGAGTATTTGAGTCTTCTAAAGCAGATCCTAAGATGACAACTTGAATGCAGATAAGCTATTAGGGAGATGACTGTGAGAAGCAGCAATAAGGGAGGGGGAAGTGAGATAAGAAAGGGGGGCAAATCACGGAAAGACATTTGATGAGTGGGGTTTGCAGTCCTGGGGGGTCCTGAAAAATCACTCGATTTCAGTGTTCCACTAGAAAGACCCAACCAAGCTTTTACACTATGGTCACAGCTTATTATGGCAAAAAGATTCCAAGGTTGCTGTTATGGTCAGAATATTAATTCCTCCCTAAAATTCATATGCTAAATCCTGATCCCCAATGCGATGGCATCAATACTGGCACCTCTTGGGTAGTGATGAGGTCTGATGGGCTCCATTCTCCTGAATGGATTAGTACCCTTATAAAAGAAGCCACAGAGTGCTACCCTCTCCCTTCCACCATGTGATGGCCCAGCAAGTACAGACCATCTATGAAGCAGAGTGTGGGCTCTCACCAGACACCAGATGTGCTGGCACCTTGACCTTGGGCTCCACGGTTTCTAGGAGTAGCTGAGCAATCAATTCTCATTGTTTCTAAACCACCAAGTTTATATAATTTGTTACAGCAGCCCAGACAGACTAAGATGGGCATAGAGGGCTGAGTAAAGGACAGACCTGGCATGAGTCCTGCTTGTCTTCCCCCACTAGACTTAAGTGATCCATGCTCAGTGCTTGCAGCATCCATAGGTGACAGTCCACTCAGATATCACCAACCAGGGAAGCTCGCTGGGGCCTTGATCTCTATGTCTGTAATGGGGTCGTTCATATAGATGTGGCTGACCATCTAAGTGTCACACTCTCTAGCCCCTTTGGAGGTCAAGCTGATATTCAGTAACCTGAGGCACCTTCCCCAAACTGGACTGCTGACACAGACAGGCTGGCATGGTACAGGCAGAGTTCCCTGGGTGACCAAGGTAGGACACACGAGCTACAAGTACCCTGCAGCATGGGCCAAGGGAATGGGCAGAGAACCAGTAGCTTCAGCTATGCATCCTTGGGGAGATTTTGTCATTTCCAGTTTTTCTTTCATACAAATAATGCACTAGAACAGGGATCAATAAAATTTTCTGTAAAAAGCCAGATAGTAAATATTTTAGGCCTCAAGGACCCCATCATCTCTCTTGAAATTAGTTACAGAGTAAATGTTTGTGTGCCCCCTTCCTCCTTTCATATGTCAAAGTCCTCACTCCCCAAAGTAATGAGATGCCCTCATGACTGGGACTAATGTCCTTATAAAAAGAGTCTCCAGAGAGAACACAGTCAGAAGACAGCATTGTGAGGAAAAAGGATCTCACCAGAAACCAAATTTTCCAGTGACCTAATCTTGGACCTCATAACCCCCCAAATCAATTTTACTATAAGAAATAAGTCTTTGCTGTATATAAACCAACCAGTTTATGGCATTTTGTTCTAGCAGCCTAAACGGACCAAGACAATAGATACCCTTGCCTAAAAGCTCGAAAGCACTATTTGCGTATATAAGCAAATAAGTTTGACTGTGTTCTAGTAAAATTTTATTTACAAAAACAAGGGGCAGAACAGATGTGGCTTGGAGATTCTGTTTTGCCAACTTCCATAATCTAAAATATCCGTGTATGCATTTGTCCATTAGTGTGGATAAATCTATGGGATATGTTCCTAAAGTGGAGGTTCTGAATCACAAGTTATGACATTTTTATTTTGAAAAGATACCCCCAAAGTGGAACCACCTTGGTCTTCCACCAGCCACACACGAGAGTGCTTGAGATTTCCTCTCTTAAAACTCCTTTCTTAAGAGTACAAAATGTGTATGAGGGGCACCTACTTACTGTCATTCTTGAGCTTTGGAGAGGCAGAGAAGGATAGAACATTTTTTCCTCAGAGAAGAATATCAAATGGATCCTAAAAATGTCTCGGGGCTGGGGATTTAGCTCAGCGGCATAAGCACCTGTCTTGCTAGCAGGTGGTCGTGAGTTCGATCCCCACTACCGATAAAAATGAAAAAGACAAAAAAAAATTTAAAAAAATGTCTCATAATAGTATGTCTTGCTTTAGATTTGAGTCCCATGGGGAAGGGGATTCTGGTAACTTATTCTCATTTGCTAAGATCAAACCTTATATTAGCCACTAGCATAGTTCCAAAAGACTCCAGCATCTGATTTTTAACAGTGTTTTTCCCACAAATGTATCAGAGAATACTTTAGCAATTTCCCTTATTAAACTTAAGATGCCATCCATTCCTAATGCCACTTTTCTGTTGTAAGGGATTTTCATGTAAATGAGGCTACTTGTGCATTCCAAACACATTACTGAAGGTACAAAAAACATACATGGTCCAATTTTTCCCCTAAGCTGACATGCACTGGACACCCTTGATAGAGGTGGCACAATATTTTACTTGCCTTGGTTTACTAGGTCTGTCTGATTTTTAGGCATTAAATGAGTTCTTATTTTTGTTTTTCCACTTTCTTTTTTCCCCTAGTTTCCATCATTTGAAGTTCTTAATGCAGCCCCCACAGAGGAGAACAGAGGCTCGTTAACGTTCAAGTTCCGTTTTAGGCTACATATTTTAGCTGTTTTATTTAATAATCGGCATCCCTCCTGGGATCCAGCCTGCCTTTGCTCAGCTTACACAGGGTGAATCTTTGATAGTACTCATTCTCTAGCCCTTCATTTATAATACAAGCACAGCCTTCTTCCCCATTAGCAAGAGGGCATGCTTGCACTACCCACGTCAGAAAAAGAATTAAGCAGAACTTGGCTAGGAAGATAAATCAAGCTACCCATCTCATTACGCTTGAAAGACACAAATTCAGCTTGTGTTGGAATTTAACAAATTTCTGAGGAGATATGTAGCAATATGGGGTGGGATAAATTGCCTAACTCTTTAGGCAAACAGAGACAGAGGCGATGTGTGTGTAACAGAAGAGACATGATGTCTGCATTGTGAAGAGTCAACTGACAAAAATTTAGGATCAAAAGGGAAGCCAGGGTTATTAGCAGCACACCACCTGCCTGGCAAGTGCAAGGTCCTGAGTTCAATTCCCAGTAACCCCCCTCCAAATGGCAGCATAAAACTTATTCAGCGCTTACCTCTTGCTGGATCCTGTGTACTGAGAACTGCACATACATTGTTTCATCAAAACCTCACATTGACTTGTGAGATAAAATACTTCTAAGAATTCTCTTTAGCCGATGAGGAAACTGAGGCTCAGAAAGGTTACCAGGCTTGCTCAGAGTCTAAAAGCTCAGGCAAATGCCAGGGCCAAACTTCATCTCAGAATCTCTGGCCCTGTAGCTTAATCCTAACGCTTCTCATGTGGGATGACCTGGCCCCTAGGAGACTTTTGGCAATGTCTGGAGACATTCTGAGCTGTCACAGCTTGAGGTGGGACATGGTACTGGGGTCTAGTAGGTGGAGCTCAGTGATGCTGCTAAACATCCTGCAGCACACAGCAGAGACTTCTACAGCAAGGGTTACTCAGCCCGTACGTAATGTCACCAGTGCTGCCACTGAGAAACTCTGTTTACCCAACAGCTCCTGGTTCCATTAGAGTTGCCCATTTAGGGCTCTGTAGTCAGAGCGGGAGGCATCAGGACCTCAGTTTGTATTACATATGGAAGATGGCTTAGCCACTTGCCAGTTGAACAGCCAGAGCAAAGGCTGGCTGGGAGGTAGGGGTATAGCTGACATTCTACAGGACTGCAGTAGACCGTACGCCTGTGATGGAGATTCACAAGAGGGTGAGATGAGGGAATTGGGGAATTCTCACCGTGAAGGGAAATGGACTTCCCAAAGCAGGGGTCTCTCCGTTGCAGTTGAGGAAGGTGTAGACTAATGGCCTCTGTCTTGTCCCTGTCCCACTCCCCTCTTTCCTCCCTGTTCCTCCTCTCTGGCTTCCTAGTGTTTGGCCACAACATGAAGAGCAGCAACGACTTCATTGGCAGGATCGTCATTGGCCAGTACTCCTCGGGGCCCTCGGAGTCCAACCACTGGCGACGGATGCTCAATACCCACCGCACGGCTGTGGAACAGTGGCACAGCCTGAGGTCCCGAGCTGAGTGTGACCGCGTGTCTCCTGCTTCCCTGGAGGTGACCTGAGGGCCTCAGGGAAGGTAGCTTTCATTTGTGCAAAGACAGAAAAAACATGTCACATACCTGTTACATCCATACCTTCACACACACTCTACACACATATACCGACACACACATTCTAGATCCTCTCAGAACTGAAAGGAAGCTGACTTTTCATCACAAAATGGCCACTCCTGTTGAGGGAGGCCTGAGAACTTTCCAAAGCCCCATCCATATATATCGCTAGCCAAGTGGGCTCTGCTCTGAGACTTACTGGCAATGCCTGCTCTTGTTCATATCACATTCCAAGATGCACTTTCTACCCTTAGGCCAGAGAAAAGGCCTACCAAAGGGAGCCAGCCACCACCAAGACCAAGTTTACCAATACAGACGCTAGTGTGAGGGAGGCCTGATTCCCCACCCCACAACACATCCCCACCGGGTAGCTCCCGGAGGGCTCTTCTAACCTGATTCTTTTCTCCAAAGGTGTAAGTATCTTCGTCTTCTCCTTAGTAAATGTAATAAGTAGGTTAGACTATTTGGAGAAACCAAATGACAATAACAAAATAATACAGTGTAAGAAAGGTCTCCTGGCTTAACTGATTTGTCCTTGTGTTAACTTATTTCAAGGGATGTCCTGTGGGTTTATATGTATATGTTCGTGTGTGTGTGTGTGTGTGTGTGTGTGTGTGTGTGTGTGCCCTCACAGGTGAACACATGTGCCTACATGTCCTCTGGGAGAGCAGAGTGCTCCAGCCTGAGCACTCCTATCTTGCTGCCTCCCGTCACCAGTGTCCTCCTGTCTCTTCAATGCCCCCACTTGGGGTAAAGGTACTGTGTCTGTGTCGAGCACATAGGATATGATAGAGCAAAGGCAGCATTTTTTGACTGAATCATGATGATTGTGACTCACAAGCACCTAATACCTGGATTACAATGGCCGCCACACCCTGCCCATGATGATCTCCTTTATCATGCTCTGAAGATCTTTCTGTGTTTGTGCGTGAACCAAAGTCAAGTCTCACGTGCTGAGGAATTAGCATATTTAGAATAGATCTCTCTCTTTCCTTGTTGGATGCTTTTGTGTCTTTTCCAAAGCATATTGTCTGGTGTCATGGGGAGCTATTTATTGAAATTAAAGATTATTTATTTGTGCCATGCATTTGTGTCATCTTTTTTGCTCATGATTGTGGGATGTAGAGTAAGGGAAGGTCTCTAGTTACTCTGGCTGCATAATTAGCCCAGAAGCTGAAAGCAGTGATGTTTATTATGCTCGTGGATTTTATGGGTTAAGAATTTACACCAGACCAGGCTGGGATGGCTTCTCTCTGCTCCCCGTCCCTGATGCCGTAATACCAGCACCCCCAGCTGGAATGCTGCAGGATTTGGATACTGGCCAGGGAAGACATGGCCTGGAACCTGTACTCCTTGGATGCCTGTGGTTCAGAACAGGGGTAGCCAGTGGCTCTGCTGCCTCTCTTGTATGAAGATAAATGACAGTCCTGTAGGATGGATGTGGGGATGTGCTGGGATAATGCTGCAGAGTCTCTGAACACTTCTTGGTAGAGGGCACGCTGGCTGTGCTTACAGGGCACTGTCAGGCAGCATTTTCTAGGTGACCGATGGGAACAGTGGCAGCAGATCACAGCCATCCATGTCTCCAGGAGTAGTTTGTCAAGAGCCAAGAGGATATGTGAGAAGGTGAAGGGGGCTGAATTTCTATAGAAAACAGGCCCGACGTGCTCCATCAAGGGCCACCCACTCATTTATGATAGCATCCTCTGTCTCCCCAGGTAAGAGGGGAAAAGAGATACACAGGTCACTTAAAACACTCTCGTTCATGGGTGAAGACCCAACTCAAAAAACAAAACAAAAGATGGGTTGGAAGCAGTGCTGAAGAATTTTAAAAGCCACTTTCATTTCCCAGGACCACCTGAGTCCTTTCATCTCGTGGATAAAAAGGCACGTCTTGAGAGTGTAAGGCGAGGAGACTACACTGTGCTAGTTTGAGCACAGCCTGGACTACTTGGGGAGAGACCCTGTTTCAAAATTTAAAAGTATAAAAAATGGCTGGGGAAGTAGCTCAGAGTGAAGGCCCAGGATTTAAGCTCTGGTTACAGGGGAAAAAAAAAAAAAAGCACTGCCCTCCTTCACCACAGCAGCTGTGAGCCCAGACCTACCCCAGTCCTCCCCAGAGCGCCTTTGGAGTTGCCCAGGACTTGATACAGCCCTTGAACCTTGGCCCGGCCCTGAAGGTGAGAGGTGGGAGGACAGGGCCAGGAACAACTATTTCCGTCTCTGGTACTTCTCTCCCAGCAAGCTGAGAATCACTGCAGGGAAGAAGGATCCTTTTCTTCTGAGTAACCTGTCCTCTGCTTGTGAGATATGTGCCATATTTTGTTCAAAATTACCACTTAGAAAGAACTCAGTAGATAAAAAACTAAAAACCTAGACCTCAAAAAAAAAAAAGTGGAAGGTAATATTCAGTGTGGCAGCAGTTAACCTTTGGGGAGTATGTTTGTCTGCTTTCCATCATTATGAGGAAATACTTGAAGCAGGTTGCTTGTGAAAAAAAGTTTATTTAGTTCAAGCTGGCCTCATTCTCCGAGGTAGCAGATGGCGCCCCCTCATGGCGAGAGTGTGAGGGGGGCGGGGGGAGCAAGTGATCACCTCTCAAACCAGGAAGCAGGGTAGGATTGTAAGCTTGCTCTTCTCATGACCCCTAAAGGATCACAGGTGAATCACTTTAATCCCTTTGGAGGACAGCGTCTCCAGTGACCCACTAGAACCCACCCCTTAAGGGTTCTATCACCTCTGATCCCCTGAACACCAAGTTTTCAATATATGAACCCTTGGGGGACACTCAGGCTGCATCCAAACCATAGCTACTAGTTATTTCGCTACCCAACTTTATACCATTCTATCCAGCATTTTTGAAGATCCAGGTTAATCTAATAGTCATTAACATATCATATGTCAAACATTTTTCTAAGCACTTGTATAAGGAGGGTACTGAATTGTTCCTATTTTGCAGGTAAGAAAATTGAAGCTTAGAGGGATTAAATAATCCATGTGTGATAACACAGCAGCAAGTCTAGAATCTGAGCACAAATGCTTCTGACTTGAAAGCCATTAGATAAACTAGTGACTATCACATGATGATGAAGGGTGGGGACTCTGCTTAACTGGTAAATGGGCAAGATTTCTTAAAAGCTAAGAAGTTAAGGAAGAGAGGGATAGATAGATAGATACAGAGATAGGTGACAAATGATTAGAGATGATATAGGATAGATAAATGAAGCATAAATCTTCATTGAATTTCTAGGCTGCCATGAACACTGTGTGGGAAGGGGAGGTGTATAGTGTCACTCAAATACAGTTTTATCGAGAAAGCAGAAGATAAACATTATGTTAGAAAGAGAACATTATAGCCTCCAATGACAGTAAGGGCTATGCTTAGAAACTGTCTAATCTCTGGCTAGTAAGCTTAAGGTTGAGAACAGGAGTTGGCAAACTATGCCCCCATGGGCCAAGTCCTGCTCCCTATTTGCTTTTGTAAATAAAGTTTTATTGAAACTCTGCTAAGTCTCCATGTCTCTGGCAGAGCATAGTTGCAGTAAATTCCATCATGCTGCAAAACCTAAAATATTTATTGTCTGGCTCTTTATAGAGACAAGACTTCCTAACCCTGCCTAGAAAAATATTTCATTGGCTTTAATGTATACACAACCCATTGAGGTTTAACTGAAATGCATATTCTGATTCAGCAGGTCTAGGGCGGGGCCTGGGACTCTGTGTTTTTAATGAGCTCTAGGGACCACACTTAGACTTGAGGAAGTTGTAAGTATTTTATGTTTCCTTTCAGAGAGGGGGCATGAATTGACTTATGAAAACCTTTAGACATCAAGGCCAGATCACAGGAGTCTCTAATTCTCAGGTTTTCTAGTAACCTGCTTTGGAGGGCCTTCCTTCAAAATGTCTGCATTTGGAGGGACATTGCTATAGTTTGAATGTTTGTCCACTCCAAAACTATTGAAGTTTAACTGTCACCGTGATTGATATTGGGCAGTAGAACCTTTAAAAAGTGTGTAGGTTCCTCATCAGGAATGCAAGAATGGTTTGATCTCTGTTACTGTCTTTGTCTCTGTCTCTATCTCTCTCTCTCTCTCTCTCTCTCTCTCTCTCTCTCTCTCTCTCTCTCTTCCTCCCTTCTCCTCTCCCACCCACCGTCTCCCCTTCTGCCATGTGACACTGAAGCAGGAAGATGCAAATATCTTGATAGTGACCTCTCCAGCCTCCAGATTCTGTTCATTATAAATTAACCTATCTCCAGGGTTTTTTTGACTAGCATAAAACAGACCTAAACAGATGTGTTCAATTTCCAGGTAGCCCTCAGCCACGGGGTAGTAAGGGCTCCAAAAGTCAGCTCACAGGATGATCAAAAGGCAGTGAAGAGAAAATAACACAACTTTCTTCTATGCAGTATGTATATTTTGTATCGACCTTTAACAATACCAATTTTGGGGAGTGGGTTTATAGCAGACATTATAGATTAATACAAGCAGTAGTGCCTGCACATGACTTGTGCATGTTATTTATGAATAGATAAACATTCATGCTTGGGGGTGTACACCACTGCAGCATTCTGAGGCAGCATAGACCCAGGATGCTGCAGGCTAGGGCAGGACCTGGGCTGAGTTCACACCCAGAGTCAGGCCTTGGTGCATGAATATTCAACTCCAGTACTAGCAGGGAAACTGAGGTAAATTGATACCATCAGGTAAGCTGTTCCTCAGGTACACAGCAGGGGCTGGTCCAGAGAGCAGAAGAGTGACTTGGAAACTAAATTGACACATTCTAGTCCTCCCCATGAATGCCAGTGACACAGGCATCAGAGCACCCGGCTGAGCATTTGTGAAGAGCAGGAGGAAAAGCAAGGTGGAGAGGGTGCATGGGTGCCAGGGAAAGTCTTGCACTACATTCATGACAATAGCAAAACATGCACAGTCACTTACCGAGCGCTGTTTGCCAGCACCTTTGTAACAGTGTAGACACATGATTTCATGTCAGCTCTGTAAAATAAGTAGTTTTGAATCCCCCATTTTATGGAGGAAGAAACTGAGACAAGCAAAGTGACTTGTTTCTGGACTCACAAAATGGCAGAAAGATCCTGATTTTTAGAAATATTAATTGTCCATAGGGCTGTGATGTGACTCAGTGATAGAGCTCTTGCCCAGTATTACCAAAAAAAAAAAAAAAGAAAAACAAAAAAAAAACATTAATTCTCTATGAATGCAATAAGATCCCAACAGAAATAGCAGTGAATTTTAAAACATGTAAGTACAAGCTAACAACACACAGAGCTCAGCCAAAGTGGAGACAATTGCCACTCTGTGTGGGGCACTCAGTGTTGAACCTTCTCCACATGTGGCATTAGCTGTAGGGGACCTCAAGAAACCCCTGCCCCTGCAGGGTGAGGCCAGTGGGGGACACCTTAATGAACCCCAGCTTGCCTGAGGGGGCACGTTTCTCTGCCCTGCAAAATTGTTCTGCTATGGAAATGAGGTTAAGTCTTACCTGATCTTCAGATTTTTGGCAGCAAGCAGAAACTCAGACTTATAGCTAAAATTTCCTGATTTTGTTACCTGACAACATTTAAACATTTTTGACAACATTACATGAACTAAACAAATTACATCCAATGATCAGGAAGCCTCTTCACAAAATGCTAATATCTCTACTTTCTGATATATATATATACTCTGAAGGAACCAAGAGGCTTTATGTCCTGAAGCAAGCTAGAATTTGAGCCTCCTTTTTTGTTGTTTTGTTTTGTTTATTTAGTACTGGGGATCAAAGCCAATGGCCTTCATCCGGAACTGTCTTCCCAGCACTTTAGCATTTTTTTTTTTCTTTTGAGACAGGATCTTGCTAAGTAGATCACTAAGTAGCTGCAGCTGGTTTTGAGCTTGCAATCCCGCCTCAGCCTCCTAGAATGCTGGGATTACAGGCATGTGACATCCAGCAGGAGCCTCCTTATTGTCTTACAAAGGAAGAAACTGGATCTCAGAGAAGATGTGACTTGGTGGCTTGAGGCCACAGTACGGCTCTAGATTCTTGAGGGCAGGCTGGTCCAGGTCGCCTTGCTCTCAGCTGTCAC